TTTTTTTTTTTTTTTTTTTTTTGCGGTACGTGGACCTCTCACTGTTGTGGCCTCTCCCGTTGCGGAGCACAGGCTCCGGACGCGCAGGCTCAGCGGCCATGGCTCACGGGCCCAGCCGCTCCGCGGCACGTGGGATCGTCCCGGACCGGGGCACGAACCCGTGTCCCCTGCATCGGCAGGCGGACCCTCAACCACTGCGCCACCAGGGAAAACCTAATCCTGATTTTTATACACATCCCTTCCATCCTAAGTCATCTTCCTGCTAAACTCAAGAAGTCCTGAATTCCTTTACCGTTTACTATTAGATCCTCAGCTCCAGCACAGACCTAGATACATACGTAGCAGGCACTGAATGAGTATTTGTGGAATAAATGAACGCCAAGGAAGCGTCATATTTTGGTATCTACAACATATGGACCCATTTACTCTTAATTCTTTGCTTTTACCTGTAAAGTCTTTTAATAAGTTGCAGAAACAAGAAATGAATTTAAAATCAAATGGATTCTGAATAACTGATCCAAATATATCACAGGAATAAATAAAAATTGAGGAACCCTTAAATTCTGTCTGTGCACTAACATAAAATTATTTCTTTTGTATTGGACACTATATTAAGTCATTAAAATCTTCTCATTTAACCCCTGCAAAAGTCCAATGAGATAGGTTCATAACACCGTGATTATATGGTTAGGAAACTATAGGCTCTACAGAGCCTGTTGACATTGGAACACAAATTCCAAACAAGTACTGTTTACATGCACTGTCCCTGCGCATCTCCTCTAATACATTCCCACTGCTTAGTATCCCCCAGGGCACCTCACGTGCCAATCGCATTACACTTGTAGATAGATAATACTTGAAAGAGGAATGGAGGTAGAGAGGAAGAGAAGAGATGAATGAATAGCTTTCTAGAGGGCCAATGTATAAGTTCTCACTCACAGCTTATTACCTCATTAAGATCATCTATCCTGGTCACCTTGGGATTTCAACAGAAGTGGAATTTCTGTCCATTTAACCATAAGATGTTAACACATCCCTTAAGAGTCATCAGACCTAGTAGCCGTTGCAAATAGAGAGGCATTTTTGCCATCTCGTATTTTTCTCTCTCTTCTGAGGAGATCCAGGGAACCTGAAACTGCCAGACATGAAACCAAAAGTGATACCTAAATTAGCAATGACCAAATTAGCTTTGACGTTCTCACAGATCTTTAATGTTCCCTTCTGGAAGCCTGGCTGGAGGACGGAGAAAATAGCAACACCCCAACACTCAGCTCCCACATGGGGACCTTTGCCTTTGCTGTTCCCTCTGCCAGGAATGCTCTTCCCTCAGTTACTCATAGGATCTGGATGGATCCCTCACTGCATTTAGGCACCTGCTCAAATGTCACCTCATTCAACAAACCTTCCCTGACCTAAAAGAAGACTCCTTAGTCACTTTTCACCCTGTGACCCTGTTTTATTTTTTCCTTCAAAGCCCTCATTACTGTGTGGAATAGCATAATGTTGATTTGTAAGCACCTGTGTCCTCCCCACTAGAATGTCAGATTTCTGAGGTAGCACCTGAATTGCTGTGTTCACTTCTGATTTCCAGCACCCAGGTGGAAATCCATCTTTTCAGTGATGTCCCCAAAATATCCATTGACTAAATTAATTAATATCGAACAAATACTTTAAACAGAATACTTACATTCCAATAAGAAATACGGCCACTCCACCCACCTACTGAAGGCTAATAGCTTCTTCATTATTCTGTCCAAGATGCACTTGGCTTCCCAACAGGCCCTGCCTCTCCTTCTCTCTACCTCACCCCATCCCATAATTACGTTAGACCAGATTCCCTTCAGTACCATCAGCATTTTCATGGGATGGATTCAGGAAGCTGTTCTGACTCACACGAAAGAGTGTCTTAAGATGGGGAAAGGCTCTTTCTGTCTTTGCCAAGTGATGGCATAAGATCTTTATTAGGTCAGTGAACCGCAAGCCTCTTAGGGAGGTAATCTGTCCAGCTCATCCTGTCACTCTTCAACTTAGTGCCACTCAGTAATGATGCGCTCTAGCTGTCATCTCTATTATCCTTGTGCAATACAGTGGCCACCTCCTTCCATCTTTAGCTCATCTGGAGTCCAGTTTTGCGTCTTCACTTGGATATGTTTGTAATTGCATCTAATAAAGGACAAACCATTCAAATAGTTATCAGGTGTATCTTTCATGAGAGAGAAAAGGAAGTTAATGGCAAATACTACTCTTCGTTTTCATGGAATGACAAAATCCAACAAACGTGATATCAAAACAACAACAATAAAATCTTGTTGGTGTCATTTGGGAAAGGTTGCAAGATTTATATACTTGCGTAGTCAAAGCCACATTCGCACAATGAAACACTGCCCCTCCCCCAAACCCCTTTTATCTTCAGGAGATCTTGCTTTAAAGGTACCTGCCCATTTATTGTGGATGACAGACTAATAAAATGAAGTCATTTTAATAAACGCTGTATCAGAATATCCTATCTTCTAATGTGGCCATGTGAAATTTCACCACTGGAGGAAACATTTCACATTCTGACTATTTTAATACTTTTAATAAGTATTTGCAATTCCTATGATAAAGCATCCCAGTAGAAAATGCATTTCCTCCAAAATTTATGTGGCTGCTGGCAGGTGGCCACTTTCTAATTTTCTGTCTCACTTACGTACATTTATTACAGATTTCTAACTACCCCTTTTTGCTCTTTGACTGGCTTTGAGCATGCTGTCTCCTCTGAGCAGGAATGTGTGTGGTTAAAATTGAGGATGGTAAACAAGAGCTTTCTGGTTTGCAAATTGGAGGGTGGGTTATATCCCCTTGGGGGGTTCCTTAACATCTATTTTATTCAGCTCTATAATACATTTGAATCAAGTCTTCAGGTACACATGGAGCTCGAGAATCCTTTCGCAGTGCCTCAATACAGTTAAAGGTTGGGGACAGGCATGAAGGTGGGATTAGGAACGGGGCCTGGATCATTATTTTGCTCTATTAAGCTTTGCTCTTACTCAAGAAATGCAGTAGAATTTGTGAAATACTTGTTACAGTAATAAGGCTTAGAGATAGTAATATTCAGGTTAAGCAAACCATATTTTAAATACAAAGGGAAAGGAACTATTTAAGAAAATGTCCTGTAAATCCTCTTGAAGAAGAAAAAAATAACGTTTAAAATTTTGTCATCCCTCCTTCATGGGTATTTCAAATCTTTGTTAAACATCTCAATGGAAAATCCCTGGGTACACCTCAGACTAAAAGGCTGCAAAACAAAACTCAGGATTCCTGCTACTTCCTATTCCCTACCTTCTGAGTACTCAAAATTGCATCCCTAATCTGCATACTGGATCTCACTTAAAGTTATCGCCATTCTCTAATCAGACAGAACAGAAACAGGAGCCTTATTCAGGCATTTCCTTTTTATATTATCCCAAGGCCTGCTTGTCCTACCTATTCAATGTTTCTTATTTCCTCCTTCAATTCCTACTGATGCTGCCCTGGCTTAAGTGCTTATTATTGCTAAAGGCCACTATGTTTTATGAATCATCGTCATCACCAAGGCATTATCTCATTTAAGCCTTCCAACAGTTCAAGAGTCATCCCCATTTTATAGACAAAGAGAAAGGCAGAAACTCTCAGTGACTTTCCCAAGGTTACTCAGCCAGGAGGTCTCAGAGCTGGGATTTAAACCCTGATATTCTGATGCCAGAAATGAAGCTCTGAACCACTAGGCCACTCCCTGCTGTTATGAAAACTCAATAACTGTTCTCCCTGCTTCCTTCATCTTGTCTCTCCTATTCCTTTTACATTTCTGCCATAGACTATTTATAAATATAGTGCTCATGTGATAACTTACAAGCCTCTGATGGTACCCTATGCCCATCATTTCTTCACTCAATGGTTCATGCACCATTCATTCTTTAATTTCATCTACACTACAAATATTTATGGACTACACATTATGTACGAAGCACAGTCTAGGAATTGGGGCTTTTATAAGGATAAAAAATTGTCCAAAGTTCTTGCCCAGTGGAGAGAAAGTAAGGAAATAGTGCTACAACACAAGCTTGGGTAGTGGCAAGTGCTATGAAGAAAGAATATGGAGAGAAAATAATAGGGAGGGAGAGGATTTGTTGTTTTAGACAAGAGAGTTAGGAAAGCCCTCTGCAATGAGTACCATTTAAGTGTCGACTCAAATAATAGGGAGGAGGATGCATTCCAGGCCAAGGCGGGAGAGCATTCATGAAAAATGGAAAGCAAATGCACAGTCCTGAAGCAAGGCTATGCCGAGGCTGTTCACAAGCAGTGGGGAGGCCAGAGTGACGAGCCAGGATAGAGCGCTGAGAGAAGAGAGGTTTAAGGGAGGCAGAGGCCCTGTAGACCATGGTTGTTTCTTTAGAATAATATTCTTTTTCCTTTCACTCATGCACCTGTATTTCCAGCCTCTTTGAAAAGGGGGCAACTTGTCACCATGCACTCCTTGCTGTCTTCAAAATAGAGCACGCACCTTACCACCGCTCTGATTTTATCCATAATAGAGTCCCGCTTCTCTGTCTTGAAATCTCCAGCCTTTAAGGTCAATCTCCAGTGCTACAGCCTAAGTTAATTCTTCTCTTCTGTCTGATCTTGCTTTAGCTGCCCACTCAATGAGGACAGGGAGGGGGGCAACTGTGGAAGACCTCCAGGGTCAGGCTACTTGAGGTTAAGTCCCCTGAACACCTGGTTGGCCAGGGTCCTTCAGGGCAACTGAGAAAACCTTTCAAAGCCTCAATTTGGTTCTGACATTTTAAAAATACAGCAGTAGAGGAACAATTTCATAAGCTTTTCAAAGGAATAAGTGATATTATCCTTGCATATAGTAAGAATCCAATAACTCTTAGCTTTAAATTATTTTAAAGGAGCTCTGGGATACCAGGGCCCTTCTCTTAAACCCTAATACCATGTGCTAGTGTTATGCTCCTATGCAATTGTTTTTCTGGACTAGATTTTAAGCATCTTGAGAGCAAGGACCATATGCAACTTATGTAATGTTTCTTTCAGTGCCTTTGCATGGAGTAGGTGTTAATAAAATGGGTTAAAGGAATTTATAATCCAAATCACCAATTTATGTGTTTCATCTAAAACATTTAGTACACACTTTAGCGAAGGATTTTGTAAAGTCTAAAACCAAGTACTTTTTTTTTTTTTTTTTTTTACAATGAGGTTGAGATAAAGGGCTTAGGAAATAAAGCAACACATGGAGAATATCTTTATGATCTTGCGACCAGGGGAGAATCTTGAACAAGACACAAAGAGTACTAAACTTAGAGGAAAATTGATGAATTAAACTGCATTAAAATTTAAAACTCAGGCTCATCAAAAGTGAGTGATATGACAAAATGCAAAGTACAAGGAGATATTTGCAACATTTAATCAGCAAAGATTTTGTATCCAAAATGCACATAAAATGTCTACTGATAGATTTTAAAAAGATACAAGCCTACAGAGAAATGGAGAATAGGATAAAGTAGAAATTTAACAAAAAGTAGAACATGAATTGTGAGTAAACAAATGAAAAAACGATCAAAATCCTTTGTAATTAAAAAATAATATTAAAGACCTTAATAACATAACAATTAATCCTCACTACATTGGTAAAAATTAATTGTTAATAACTACTGGCTGTAAGGATGTGGGCCCTTGGGAATACATAGACACTTCTGGTGGGAGCAGAACTTGATGCAACCGTGTCGGGAAGTGACTTGGTGCCAGCTTGAGACTGAACATTGGCAAGCCTTATGAGCCAGCAATTCCACTTCTATTTATGTGATTTAAAGAAACTCCTGCTTATGAGCCTCAGGAGATGTATACAAGAATGTTCACAGAAGCACTGATTATAAGAGCAAAACCCGGGGACCCATCCTAGGCTAGTATATATTATAGACGAAGTTGTGTCTCCCTCACCCCCCGACAAAATCCCTATGTTGAAGCCCTAAACTCAATATGACTGTGCTTGGAGATAGAGCCTTTAAGGAAGTTATTAAGGTTAACTTAAGTCATACAGGTGAGGCCCTAATCCAACAGGACTGGTGTCCTTAAAAGAAGAGGAAGAGATAACGGGAATGCACATCCACAGAAGAAAGGCCACATGACGACAAAGAGAGAAGGCGGGAGTCTGCAAGCTAGGAAGAGAGGTCTCACTAGAGACCAGCTCTGCCAGCACCCTTCCTTTGGATTTCCAGCCTTCCGCACTGTGAGAAAAAAATTTCTGTTGTTTAAACCAATCAGTCTGTGGTATTTTGTAATGGCAGCCTAGCAGATCAATATAATAAATAAACCACTTGTGATATATGCATACAATGGAACATTATAGAGCAATAAAAATTAATAAACAGCTACACTCTACAAGGGGATGAATCTTCAAAATATATTTACTAATGAAATCAAGTCATAAAAGACCATATTCAACACTACTATTTTTATAAAGCTTGAAAACAAGAAATAGTTAATAATGTAGCATTTTATGCATATGGATTATAAAGACTATTTTTTAAGCAAGGTAATAATCAACACAAAATGCAGGATAGTGGGAAGACTAGGGAATGAGATGAAGACAATGAAATTGTCTTACAATTTCATACATAAAAACAATGAAATTGTTAATAGTTTAGTTTTTAAGTCAGGTAATGAGTTTACAAATATTTCTTTTATTATTATGTTTTAAACTTGTTTATAGACAATATGAGATTGTTTTTAAGTATCAAATATTATGTAAAAGGGAACAATAACTGTTTTCTTTTTTGGAAAATGTGCCTTTCTGTCATATGCAAGGATATAGCCTTCAACAGTTTTTAAAAATTGCAATTATTTTCCTCTCTTTCCTTCACATTCTTTGCCTTTTTCCATATAACTGGATTCTCTATAAGCTTTAAAATCAAGAAAATGGCCAATTTTATTAATTCTTTGTAATGAAAAATACCCCACCACTATAACAGATATGTGCGAGTACAGTATTCAGAATTGATTCCAGTATAAAATTAATTCTCAGCTACTTAATAATATTTAATTTGCTGTATGTGAAGTACCCTAGTCACCACAAAGATAATTGACTTTGCTCTGAAGTCTCTCGATCTACATATTAATTTCAACTTCTTTCTCAGACCCACATCCTCACTGGAACTCTTTGGTATTATCCATGTGAACTTAGAGGAGTTGCAATATCCACAAGTTTGTCAGACATCATATCTGGTCTGTTGGGCAGAATCTG